TGTTTCTCTTTTATTATATAGGATAGTTTCTGGAAAAACTCCATTTTATGTATGATCAGAGAACGAAAGTGGAAAATAATTAATGTTTTAGTATTATTAGTAACACTAGAGGCCCAATGCACAAAATTTGTGTTCTAGGGGTGGTGGGGAGGTTCTCACAGTCCAGGAGCCCTGTGGTCTGTTGCTCTGAGAGATGGGCCCCACCCACCTGGCCAGGGCTCCATGATGGATTGCTCCAAAGAGGTAGGCCCTGCCCACCCGGCCAGGGCTCCACAGTCGATTGACGTGCAGAGGGTGGCTGGGCCTTCCTCTGCGGAGTGACTGTGGGACGATGGCGGGGACCCCCTGATCGCACCCACCTCGGCTGGCCTGGTGCCAGAGTGTGTGATAGCATGGTCTTCTGGAAGGTCGTCCAGATAGTCGTTCTCCTCTCTGGTCTCTTGGTCGATTTGCATACCATGTTTTATTATTATAGTTGGACCAACAGGTGTCATCAATAGGTCCTGGGTGAGAATCCCTGGATCAAACTTAAAAACTTCGTAGTTAAAATACTACTGCTCTTTCGAAACTCTCTTGTGTGAGAAGCCTTTAGTTGACATAAAAAAAAAAGTCTTAGGAATTCATATACTATTTTATGTTGAGTGAACTCATCCCTCTTAAGTTCAGAGTTTCTTTCCACAGTGAAAGAAAGGAATTTGTCTTCTTGTTGTCTGCAGTTAGTCTTACATTGGAAGACTAAAATATGAAGAAATGGGTAGCATTGCTATTGTGTGTGTGTGTGTGTGTGTGTGTGTGTGTGTGTGTAATGATCTGGTCAAATGGAACTGGTCTGGTACTAAAAATGTGTTCTGTGTGGCTCATCTAGTGGTGGTCATTTTGCTTTCTGTTTTTAGCCATACATTATGTTTTAATATTTGGTTATTTGAGTCCTAGACCAGGTAATTTTGAGACAACAGTTAGTAAAGGGACTATATTTTGAGGCAGTCTTACACATGAGAGGATTTCAAGAACTTCTGAGCCTTGGGAAGAAGTTCAGTATTTTGAGTTGTTAATAACACTAATACTTGAATATAATGGTGAAACTGTACAATTTTATGTATAAGTGTTTCCTGAAAATGGTAGTATTTGTAACTTTAGGTGTGAGGCACTCACTGTGTTTAGAAAGTGAATGCAAATCACTGTGTTTTTTTTTTACATTGAGTTACATGTTAATTTAGTTGTGACGTTTTTGGCTTAAAGAAGTTCAATGGCTTTTATTTTTATAAAATGAACAATTACTTTGAGCTATGAATTATCACTGATTTGTCTTTCAACATATGTATTATCTATATGTGAATTTCACAGGTAACATTGTAGAAAAACTACTAGTCTGTTTATAAGGGATATATGTCATTGCTCAAATAAATATTTTGTATTAAAATATGCCACAAAGTGTAAGTATTGTATTCCTTAAAATATTCTTTAAATATAGTAAAAATTACTTAAATTAATACAATGAATGTATTTCTTAATTGATTAAATTAGATTTAAGATTTTGATGAGAAAAATTACCTTAATTAAAAAATTGTTTTGATAGAAGAAAAGTTTCAGATTTTATTTGTAGACATATTTTGTAGTATCTTAATTTTCCAAGGCTTTGGTTAGGCCAAAGCAATGATAAGCTACTTCAGTAATTTAAAAGGGTTAATTTGAAAGTGATTATTTCTTCAGGCTAAGGACTCATTTAGAAAGAATTCTAAGACTTAGTAGAAAATACATTTGGAATTTTTGGTCCAAATTTGTGGCAATATTTTCAGAAAGACTTATGATGGGTTTGGTGCACAGAAATGTTATATTTCAATCACAACATGAGAAATGGTTGGATTTCCTGTCCTAGGAGGTATTCTTAAAATTAGTTTCCTGTTATAGCAATACTTCTATCACCCATTAGTAAGGAGAAATGTTTGGATTTTGTTATTAGCAGAATTAATGACATATATTTATAAATTAAAAGACATTATCATTCTAGGAATGGGTGCGCCAAGCTTTTGGATTCCAAATTTTTGGTGGTTATACTTGATAGAAAAACCATATCTCTTAGTAAATAATTATCAACCTACTCCATTTATACTGATATACATTTTCCAGGAATAATAAATGTTTTCTTTTTAGTTACAATTAAGATAAGATTGAATACTATTACTCCAGTGTTTGTCCTTTTATATTCTTAAGGCTAGATCTATGTTTTTGCAACTGAAAACCAAAATGCAAAACTTGCCACAATTAATTTCAGTTCCATTCAGATAATAATATGGAATTTCAGTTTTTGCCAAATGTAACTTCAGGTGCCGCAAAAAACTTGCAGCATAGCCCTGCCTGTAGCTCAGTGGTTAGAGCTTCAGCCTGTGGATTGAAGGGTCTTAGGTTCAATTCCAATCAAGGGGCATTTACCCCGGTTGCAGTCTTGATCTCCAGGTGCAGGAGGCAACCATTCAATGTGTCTCTCTCACATAGATGTTTTTCTCTCTCTGTCTCTCCCCCTCCTTTCTACTCTCTAAAAATCAATGGAAAAAATACCCTTAAGTGAGGATTAACAAAAACCAAAAACAAAAAACCTGCAGAACTTGTGTGCTAAGAAATTTAGTGAAATTATTTTCTTAAAATTATTTTGCAATACATTTAATACCAACAGTTCTCCATGAAAAGATGACTTGTTTTATTTTGAAAATGCCCTTTACTAATATGCATTTTTAAAGTTCTTGAACTCATCTTATGTTTTTATCACTTACTTCATCTATATAAATATGTGCCCCCTCCATTTTAAGACTGGGTTTAGAAAACTTTGCAAAAAGGAAAACCAAAGGTCACATAATTAATAAGTGGTGAAATAGCAGATTTCAGAGATCCCTTAGTTTCATCTGTACCTTTTCTCAAATTTAATAATTACAAAAAACGCAGTGAAAAGCTGCAAAAAAGTGCTATAAAGCTGCAATTAAAATGTTCCTTGAATCAGTTTAATTTCAGAGAAAAAAACCTTCAGTATGACTGTTAGTTTTTATTATTTTCATTTATATATGTATTATATATATACTATATAATTATAAACCATATTTTAAGCTATTTTAAACTATAAATATACATTCTTTAATATTAATTTACTATGATACCTAATTATAAATTATTTGACTTATTAGTTTTATGAATTAGAAGAACTTTAGCTATATGTATATAAAAATTCTATATAGACCTTTATTATATAAATTTTAGGTAATAAAAATGTAAGCAGAAATATAAATCTTTACTTTTTTTCCTTTCTCTTTGTTATCCCTTTTTTTAGTATAAAAGAAGTTGAGTTATTTCATATTGATGAATAAATTTTAAATCTAGTAGCTTTCCTCTAGGTTTTCTCAAATAACTATCATAGCAAAATAAAATGAAAGAAAACCCCATAGAATGTATACATTTCTTCGGTATGTGGAGGATTGTCAAACATATTCACTGTACAATAAAAAGTTTTTGTGTTTCAAAAGAAATATCTTTTATAGTCATTATTTTTTAACAACAGTAAATAATTTAGTTCACATGTTTAAAACTATCATCTTTTTTTTGGAAGCATTTATTAGACAATACCAAAAATAGTACCTGAAAAAAAAAATCGCAAATTTATTTTTCTCTAAATTGGAACACTTTGAACAAATAGAAGAGAATGTTCATCTCTGTATAAAGAATCCTTCATTTTAAATCTTTGACCCAGCTGAATATTAAAGGATAGATGTGTATATATAATATATAAATGATATATATGTGTGTGCATGCATGTGTATATATACACATATATATTTCCCTTTCTGAAATAATTTCTTAAAATCAGGAGAAATTCTTCGGTATCAATTGAGGGAAACTTTTGAAAATTATTTTAATTTTTAAGTTCCTAAAATTTTTTGAGTCAGAGATACAGATATTAAATCATTTAATGCAGAGAACCAAAGATTAGTTTAAAATATATTAAAAAAAAATCTCAAGATGCTGAAATGTGACCATATGTTTCTGGTTTTAAAAATTACCCTTTTGCATTTGCTTTTGTTTTTGTGAGTTAAAAGAGATAAGGTAAAGGTTGTTTGCTATTTACACTTTCCCCCCGTTAAAATTGTAAATGCCTGAATTTGGAATTATTTGTTAATTCTAGTTGATATGTAAAGGAAGATTTGCTGTAGAAAACATTTGGATTTATAAAAACTCCATCAGTAATTTTCAGGTGATCAACAGAATAAATGTGAGAAATACTCATGACACTCTTGTCAATTGCAAAAAAAAAATTACAGGTTACATTGGTTGAAAAAGATGAAGGGATTTAGAAGTACAAAATAGAGAATAGTGAGAGATATAAATTACAGCATTGAGAATGTAGTCAATAATAATAGCCGTAATAAATACATAATGGGGCCAGGTGGTTACTTGAAACATCGGGGTGACCACTCTGAAAAGTACATGATTTTCTAACCACTATGCTGTGCACCTGAACCTAATACAAAATAATATTGAATGGAAACTGTAATTGAAGAAAAAAGCCCAGAAAAAAATATGTAGTGTGGGATCTGAGATAGGATATTGAAACAGAAGAAAAAATTATTCGGGGGGGAAAATAAATAAGACTTGTACATTAATCTTTAGTTTTTAAGTTTTGAAAATTGTACTGTGGCTACGTACATTGCTAATATTAGAGGAGGTGGATTTGAAGATATATGAAATCTCTGTTGGATTTTTGCCGCTTTTTATCAAGTCATAATTATTAAAAAATAAAAGCGTTTTTTAAAAAATAAATAAATTACCCATAACACAAACTCACAACTGTAATCAGAATTCTCTGTGAGATTGGTTACATTCTTTTTAAGCTTTGAAAAATTTATTTTCTGAAACTTTTAAGTGTAGGGTCTAAGATTTTGTTTCATTTACCCATCATTTCAGATGTTCTGGGAAGAAATATCTAATGATTTTTCCATGACATCTGCCCTTTTTTTCAGATTCTCGCCTGACATTTTATCGTGTTATTGTGTTCCACGCTATTTAGTTCCTCCGGGAGCCTTCCGACTTTCACAGGCACTGCTTCAATCAGCTTCTGCAGCGTGGATAACTTACCTAGGGACCAGGCCTTCCTGCACAAGCAGCCAGTCATGAGCAGGGGCAGACTAGCCTTGTTCTTTTTAATTTTAATATTTATATATTTTTGCATTTCAAAGTATAGAGATTCATTTTAGCAATTCATTGAAAAGTGAAAGCCACTGAGTTTCATTTAGGAAAAAAATACTTTACCTATAATGGGAGGATTATGTAGAAATGAGCCTACTTGCTGGTTTTTCTTTTCTTTTCCAAAATTTTTGCATTGTGACTTAAGCGTTTTCCTACATCAGAAATTGACTGTCTTTGTTTTTTCAGTACATAATTTTCAATGTAAACCTGCTTGTGTAGAAATTTTTTTAAAAAGTGTTTAAAAGTATCCTGTGTATGAACAAAATAGGCCTTAATGGTATTTTGGGTGGGGACAAGAACCTCAGGTTTACTTAAGGAAGAAGAGAAGTATTTGCTTAGGGAACTTTAAACTAGTTACATAGGAATTTATCCAATAAAGATACAGCTCTACCATCAGTTTAAAAGAAAAACAAGGTTTTGGTATATCTTGACTAAATGGCTTTGAAAGTACTAAAGATTTTGAAAAACTCTTACAAATCAGACTGCTTTAGAGTGAAAACAAAAATTAGGGGCTACTTATTTAAGTTAGGTATCAATATTGGAAATTTGGTAATAGAGCAAAATGTACTATATTGTATTAATAATGAAATATTGGCACTATATAAAACTGACAGTTAATTTTAAGTATTTTTTAGATCATTAAGCCAGAATTTCAATGCAGATATGGAAGAAAAGGCTCTCATTTTAAAAACTGCAAGAAAAAAAATAAATTTAAATGCTGAAATATATACTTTAAATTTTTTATTTTATTTTAAAAACATGTAAAAACTAACTTGGGTTTTAATAATGGAATAAATAAACATGAGTCTGAAAATTAAGTGAGTATAATAAATTTGGAATTGTAAAACTTCTGGTACTTTAAAATTCTGTATGAGAATAGCTTGTGTTTAGAATTCAGCCAGGCATTGAGTCTTAAGCTTATTTATTTATTTATTTATTTATTTATTGCAAATAAAGACTATAATGTTATGTAGAAGCTTGAGTTTTCAAAAATATATTAATTCTGGTTTGGCTTGATATCATAGTTTTTGTTTTAATATCATTTTCTAGCAAAGGATACAATGTTCAATACTTAGAATTCTACATTTTGAGTAAAGCTAGTACATAATGACTTAGTTATTTCTTAATTTGTAATAAACACTGGGATAATTTTTTAAAGTTTATTTCTGAGTTTCTTAACATTTTTTGCAGTACTGCATATTAATTTATAAAAGAAATGTTTTGACAACATTTTCAAACTGTGTTAGCTGAATCTCCTATAGATGAGTAAGCAGTCAGTATTAGTCTTAAAATTCATTTGCGAAGTAACCAGAATTACTTTATTGTAACATAGGAACTGTTATAATAGTGTTTTTTGCATTGAGTTTTTTGATGTTTGAGTTGTAAAAATTGCCACACAGTCTGAAAATGATTTCATTGAACTAGATACACTTTTGGGAATATTTATTTTCTTTGTAAACGGAGATTGAGCACCACCTGTTGGCCGTACTAATGTATTTCAATTTGTGAATTCAGCAAAAAAAATTTTGTTGTTGGAATGATTAGATTAATTACTTAGGTCTATATATTATATAATTCTGTCACAATATAGTTTTTCTAAAAGCTCTACTTAATAAATTCAATAAAGTGCTTTTATTATTGTAAATTATAAAATGACCCATCTAATTGTACATTTTCCCTAACTTTGCTGTATACTACTGAATAGTAAGTTATCCTTTTTAAGGAAGCAAATAGTCTTAACCATGTGTTTATTGATGAAGTTATTAAAAGAGGTCCCGAAACCGGTTTGGCTCAGTGGATAGAGTGTCGGCCTGCAGACTGAAGGGCCCTGGGTTCGATTCTGGTCAAGGGCAGGTGCCTTAGTTTCAAGCACATCCTCAGTAGGGGGCGTGCAGGAGGCAGCTGATAGATGTTTCTCTCTCTCTCCCTTCCTCTGTAAAAAAATCAATAAAATATACTTAACAAAAAGAGGTAATTATTTTATTTGCCCTATCTGGAAATTATCAAAGTAATCATCATTAAGCCAGAATTTCAATGTATTAATAGATATGGATGAAAAGACTCATACTGTACATTAGATATTTCATGTTCTTTTCTGCACTAGATTTAATTTTTAAGAATGTGAAATAATAATAATTATTTTTTAATAATTTGAAGTAAAAAAAAACCAATCAATTCTTGTGTTAAAAGCAACAATTACTATTTTTATTGCAGTTATATTTTTTGTAACTTTAGACTTTTATGTTGAATATTTTATTTCATTTGAAATAGATACATGTAACTCAAGTAGGCGTTAAGAAAACAAATTATTAATTTTAAATGTTAACTTTAATAATATATGTTATTACAAATATTAATAAAATAAGCTGTTTACTCAGCGCAAAGCAAAAACTTTCTAAAGTGACATGGATACTCTCAAGTTTATTAAAATTTATTTTCTTTAAGACTAGGTATAGAAGGCATCTGTGGTACTTCTTCCATTACTACTGATATCAAAGTGAATGCTACAGTTGCATTAATGTCCTAAACCTCATAGATTAATAATGTACAGTAAATAAATCAATGCTTTTGGGTTTTAGGGAGGGTGATCTTTTTATTTTGGATGATACTTCCTAAGAAGAAATTACTTCACGCTTAGTATTCTTAGCAATAAAGTAGTATAAGTAACACCAAAATAAACAAGTTTAAGAATCTAACCATTGGTATTTTATATTTCAGACCAGTAACACATTTTTTAAAATATAAAATCAAGACTTTTAATGTCTGATTTATTCGATTGTTTCAAAATCATGAGTCATTTCCCAATTCCCCTCAACTCCTATTGCTTTTTCCTGTTTCCATTTAATGTCTTCACTTCTTAGTTTTCTAAGCTGGAAACTTCACACAGCCCTGTCTCTCATTTCTCCTGTCAATTTTAGTTTCTAACCTTTAAAAATGACTCTTCATCCATTCTTCTCTCCACATTACTGCTCTACTTCAGTGTCCCTCATCTCTCTGATTTATTCCAGAAGCTTCCTGTTATTGTTTCCTGTCTCTTTCCAATTTTTACAGTGTTGTCAGTAGCACTGAAAAGTTTTTTTGTTTTGTTTTTCTACTGAAATATTTGGCCATATTAAAAATTCTTCTTTGGCTGTCAGTTGCCTGCCACAAATAAAATCTAAATTCCTTAGGATGGCATTTGCTGGGACCTTATAATGTGGTTACAATCTCCCTTTCTAGCCTAACTTTTCCCCTCCTCACTCTTTGAAAACAAATGTTATTTCCTTTATGAAAAGTCACTTTTGCTCTATTAGCAGTTGGAGTATATCTCCAGAAGGTCTCAATCACTAGAAGATTGTTGGCTTATATTTATATGTATAAATAGTTAAGAAAGCAGTGATTGTGTGGTTTGTTTCTTTGCTTGTTTGAACTTTGAATTTCAAGTACAAAGCATAGTCCTTGGCACACAAGAGGCTGTAAACTTATAGTAAAAAGTATAGACTCTGCAGCAAGCATAGACTCTTTGTTTTCTGGAGCAGGTACTTAATTAATTTATCAGTTCCTAAATTATACATGTAATGTGCTTAGAATATTGCCTAGTAACTAGTAAATGCTCAATGTTAACAGTTTTTTTAAAAATAAACTTTGTTATTTTAGAATTTGTGAAAGAAACAAATTTGAAGCAAAGTTCTTAAGATTTTTTTGTAATAAAATATCACATTTTAAAACTAATTTGAAATATTTTCTTAAGTACCTGAAAACCATTTGTTTACAAGTTTAGTACCTGATAATTGATATGTGTAAAGTTTTAGTAAGTCTGTCCTTCAGAGTTAAAAAGATATGCAAATGCATATAGGTAACTATATAATCTCTTTTAAAAATATGTTTTTACTGATTTTTAGAGAGAGAAGAAAAGAGAGGGTTAGATAGATAGAAACATCAGTGATGAGACAGAATCATTAATCGACTGCCTCCTGCATGCCTCCTCCTGGGACTTGAACCCACAACATGGACATTCATGTGCCCTGACTGGGAATTGAACCACTGACCTCTTGGTTCTTGGATTAAATGCTCAACAGTTGAACCTCACCAGATGAGCCTATGTAATCTTTTATTAAAGTTGTTATAATATGTCAAAGTAATGTTATTATTAACCAAAATAGTTTTTGGAGATACAAAGAAATATTGTTAAATAAATAAAATAAAAATTGGCACCATATCTTTTTAGGTAGACTTTTTAAAATTTAAAAATGAAGGCCTACCATAGGCTTTTATTTATTTAATTTTTAAAGATAGGCTGACTATAGTAATATCCGTAGGTTTTAAAGGACAGCTGTAAGATTTTTGAAGTAAGTCAGCCTATCACAAGCTTATAGCAGAAATAGACTTGTTTGTGACTGACAGTGTCTTAGATTTAATGTTTTTTGTTTTTTTCTTCCATCATTTTGGCTTGATCATTTTATTTTTTATTTTTTATTTTTTTTTACTTCTAGATATGTTCAAAATTATTTTCCTGATTTTCTTTCAGTGGGTTTTGAAGGGAGAATAGATGGGTACATAAGGAAATGCTAAGAGAAAAACAAATCTGTGTGTATGTGTCATTAAATCTTAATTTTATCAAGAGGCTTTTATTTATAATTTGGTATTGGTAAGATGAAGTTTAAAATCATCTATTGGCATTCTGCTTCTGAACCTAGACAGTTCTCCTTAAAAATTAATATAAGCATTCATAATGAATGAGAATGACTAATGTTAATATTAGCTTAGATTGTAACTGTATTTCTAAGGATCTTATAACTTTTTGAAATTATAAAAAGTATATTTCAGACAACAGAGTAAAAAGAAATTTGATCCTTTGTTGGATTAGATGTTATATTTTGTAACCTAGTATCTTTAAGAGTACATATATGGCATAATTTTAAAAAATATCATTAAATATTTTCTATGACTGAATGCTGTTAAAAATAAGTATATATTCAACAGTCTGTGCTTGTGTAACATTTTGTGTGTCGCCTTCGAATTTTTTTCTTAATGATTGACACATTACTCCTGTATGAGATCTTTATTGATAATATTCTTAAATAATTTGTGCCATTGACAATTAATAATTTAACTGCAGATGGCTCTCTGTTTACTATTTGTAAGTTTTTTCATCTTGTGATTGTAAAATGCACAATATGTTTTACTTTATAAAACACAATATGATTTCGTAAACATATAATTATTTGGGGGATATAATTAAACATTAAAGAATAAATATAGTTTAAAGACCTATAATTTTAAAGTTATACTTTATTATTTAGTTTAATGGTATGTTATTTCCTAAAAGTTGTGTGATTAAAATCATGGAGAGATATTAAAAGAAGAAACAGATATTTAAAAATTATTTTATAGGAGTAAAATTATGATTGTCTTTATACTTGACAGTATCTTTAAATTATTGGACTCACAGTTTTCACACTTTAGATTAAAATTCTTTTTAATCATGTCTTAAAATTAATGTAAAATATTTTAGTTTTTAATAAATATGCAGTATTTTACTTTATAATGGTAATTTCTCATTGCATAACTTACCAATAAATATTTTAATATTAAAGTATCAATGATAACCATATTTTCAGATTAATAAGAATATAATAGAAATATACAGTGTTTACTCAACAGATTTATTTGGTGTCTAATAAATAACTGATATTATGCTTTAAGTTTGGATATTTCCTAATTAAGTGTTATTTAGGGGGGAAAAAGACATATTAATAGAGAATGAAAATGCAGTGTTATGTGCTATAATGAGGCATGGTTTCAAAGAAACTTAGAGCAGTGCTTAAGTCTCCCTGGGGATTTAGAGAAGATTTTGTGAAATGATGATGCTTCAGTTTGTTTTCAGGGAATTGAAGTGTGTTTCTAGGTGGTAATAGAAAATAAAGAAGGGGTTTTACCATGGACACAGACAATAGTGTGCTGAAGGCTGGAGAGGGGTAGGGGGCTGCAGGGGGTCAAAGAGGGCATATGTAATACTTTCAACAATAAAGAATGTGTGTTTTTTTTTTTTTTAAGCAGGATTTTTAGGATGAGGAAGCAGTATGTGCAGAGATCTGGAAGCATTTAGAGAGCATGGCCAGGAACAGGGGCTGTGAGCTAATGAGGTTGATTGGATATGCAGGCTTTTTGGAAGTTATGTTAAGAATTTTGGATTTTCTCCTGTAAGCATTGGCGAAGCATTAAAGAATATTGAGCAGGATTGTAATGTACCCACTTACATTTTTGGAAGAGTATTCTGGTTGTAGTGTGGAGGATGAGGGTAGAAAGACCAGTGAAAGGAATCAGTGCTGCACTGCCCAAAAGAGATGGAGAGGGCCTGGACTAAGGCAGTGGCAGTGGGAGCAGAAACAGGGGGTGTTGAGGAGCTAGAGTTGGCCAACAGGTCTTGATAATTAATTGGATTTTGGATTCAGAGTTTTTTCTTAATTGCTCTGATCAACTTTTAGATTTCTAGCTTGAGCTGCTACTACTCACTAACATAGACACTAATGGAAAGAGGTCATAGTTTTGAAAGTGGGGTGGACTTCAGCAGTAAACATGTTATGTTTGAGGTGTCAGAGGACACTAGCTTAGGAATGTCAAAGGAGGCAGTTGGAGGTCTAAAGATCTGAAGCCCAGAAGATAGAGTTTTGAAAAGTAAGAATTATGGTCTCAAATTCATTTCATCAGATTTATATGATAGTTTGTTAATGACTCTCCTAAGAGAAGGGTCAAGTAATGAGAGTAAAGATAATATAGAACTTGGGTTAGAGAAATTTTGAAAAAATAAATATGTGTGTATACTCTATTTTGGATTTAAGGAGCCTGGGATTCATTTCTACTGCTAGTAAATTTCAGTCCTCTGTCACCAGGTGTCTTATGTGATTAGTGAAGTTTTCTTAAAAGACAGGAGTACAGATGATGGCCCAACTAATATAGATACTTACAAATTTAGGGGATGTCTAACTTTTTAGTATAGATCCAACTTACTAAGGATGGATTGTCTGTGATTTTCTGTTGTACATGTTAATGTTTCTTTCTGTTGGCGTGGGCAATTGAGAGTTGAGAGAACAAAAATCATTAAAGTGGCCGGGACTTGTTTGGCTTAATGGGATAGAGCGTCGGCTTGGGGACTGAAGGGTCCCGGGTTCGATTCCGGTCAAGGGCATGTACCTTGGTTGTGGGCACATCCCCAGTGGGGGGTGTGCAAGAGGCAGCTGATCGGTGACTCTCTCTCATCGATGTTTCTCTCTATCTCTCTCCCTTCTCCTCTGTACAAAATCAATAAAATATATTTTTTTAAAAAATCATTAA